CATTAGGAGATACGGGTAAGAACGTTCCTATTATTATTTGTACCATAAGTAGCTCCCCTCTTGGAATGGGTTTTTCCAAATATTTGTATAGCAAACTATCAAAACTTCCCCATTTTACAGACAGATTGAAATAACCCAGTAATTTCTTTTCACAGACAATTTATAGGTGGTCGTTTTTTTAATACAAGAAATACTAAAATGGCGAAACTTATAAACCTGTTGGTCAAGGCAGGTATGGTTTGTGATGAGCTCTCGAACCTAGAGAAGGCTATGGTGTCCGGACCATGCCCGGTTCTCTCAGAGAGGAGAGAGTTCATTCAGATCATGCTAAGGCTTTAACTAACATTACAAAGGCACAAAAGGTTATAACTACTTATAAAACTGGTTCCTCTCTTAGAAGGCATCACTGTATGAATGAGGTAGAGCATGAATCTGAAGGTGATACTGAGTAAAACGAGTGACGCCGTCACATGTTTTTTATTTTTAATTAATGAGGACATTTAATTTTGCATGATGGCCAAATTTTAAACTACAGACGGGAAAAAATCAGCTTTCCAGACGATAGGCGAATATATCATTCTAGTCTAGGCATATGCAAAATTCACTATTTCAGTGTCGCTGATGGGAGATCAAAGATATTGTAATTTTAAGTATGCTGTAATAATTTTGTATAAAAAGTTTTGTACAGATATATAATTATCTAAAACTGCGAACCCGGATTTTAGAATGATCCTAACAAAACGGTATCGCCTGACAAACCTCTTCCTATTTCTGGAAAATCGTGAAGGGTATCTATTCTTGAATCTCAGGAAGTTGAAATTTTGAGGGAAGAATGAGACAAAAATACAAATTATTTGCGTTGTAGATAAAGAGGAGAAACCAGTTTTCTATTCCCTCGAATTCGAGAATAGATACCCATAACAGTTTTTGGAAGCGTACCGGATGGATTGCCTTCAAATTAGTTTTTAAATCGCCTTTTGTATCTGGATAGAATATATTCGCTAGTAATACCAATAGAGGTCAAATTATTTCCGGAAATTTTTTCGAGCTCATGAATATTTTGAAAATTTCCCGAGTCGCAGACGAGGGAAATTTTCTAAAAATATTCATGAGCGAGAAAAAATTTCCTGATATCAATTTGACCTCGCGTGGTATTCGGTAAGAAAATTCCACGCCGAATTATGGTTGAAAATTAAATATTTTTAAAATTTATTTTTCGTTTCTCAACAATGCAAATTATTTTCTCCAAGTCACCAGTGAAACATAAAAGGTGTTGTCGCCTTGATTGTTGAGTTGTCATGGTAACTAAGTGAGACCCTAACCTCGAATATAATTTCAGTTTTGAAGTTGTCAAGCGGCCCGACGTAAAAAAATGTTTCGCTGCAATTATTTAGGCCTTCAAATTGCTTATTTCTACTCATTGTAGTTGCATGGGAATACCATTTGAAAATAGAAAATAGTATATTCTTTAATTTTACGTAAGTTTTGAATAACTACAAGTGGTAGAAAATTGTTTTTCTGCGTTTTTATTAACATGCGTTATGAGAGCTTTAAAATGGTATGAAATTCATAACCAGCGTCAGCCAGCATCAATCGTAGGAGGCTGTGATCATTGTATTTTGACAGTTCAAAACATTAAATAACTCGCATTTTGTTGCGATAAAGAATATTGCACAGCAAGTAAAACCAACAAAATTACCTATTTGTTTAAAAATGAATCGATTTGAAAATCATACGCTATGCAAAATATGCGTGAAATTGTCTGATGTAATGATCAATCATTGCACCATGACTTACTTACTCGGATTAATAGAGGATTGTGGCTCCAACTTGAAAAACGAAAATTTGTTCCGAATTGTCCACGAATATTTGCACCTAAACTACGCAAAATTCAAAGTGCTGAATGGGCAAAAGGTGAATAAATTAGTGTCTAAATATTATACAGTGCGTCCATAAAGTAACGCATAAATTCATTATTGGCTAAATGAACAATAAAATTAGGAATTCCCAAAACAGGTCGATTTTTGATTTCAATTTACTATTGTTTCAAATCATAATCTAATATACAGGGTGAACCACTTTCGTGTAATGACGTCATCACCATTTTTTTCAAATGGAACCCCCCCTTTTTTTTCAATTTCCAAATTGCCTTTGCTGAGCTGATTCCAAAAATGTATAATATGTTGCTTCAAATTGGTACAGGGTGGGCAAAAATGCAAAAATTTACTTACAAAGTAATGAAAATAACGAATAAACGTAATAAACACATTAAATGAAATTACGTATTGTTATTACAACTACTTTGATAAACTATCAAGAACATACAGCATTACTCTTAATAATTGTATCTTACAGCTTTTATTAGTGATCCAAGCCCCTGGACTATAAAAATCTTTTTGTTTGGCATTATCTTTTACCAGTTTTTTTTATTTGACATACCAGTTTGTTTATTACATTCAGTAACGTATTACTTTCCATAAACAATTTTCATATTTTTTTTTGCATTTTTGCCCACCCTGTACCAATTTGAAGCAACATATTATACATTTTTGGAATCAGCTCAGCAAAGGCAATTTGGAAATTGAAAAAAAAGGGGGGGTTCCATTTGAAAAAAATGGTGATGACGTCATTACACGAAAGTGGTTCACCCTGTATATTAGATTATGATTTGAAACAATAGTAAATTGAAATCAAAAATCGACCTGTTTTGGGAATTCCTAATTTTATTGTTCATTTAGCCAATAATGAATTTATGCGTTACTTTATGGACGCACTGTATATATTTTATTAGACATAGACACATAATTCAAAGCATCCAAAGTCCTGCATTTTCGCCATTAAGAAGAATATAGAAAACACCTTAGCATTGTAACTAAAATGTATCAAAACTAAACCTATTATGTGAACAAATAAAAACCAGTCTGTCAAAAATGGTCTGTTATTGTAAACGTCAAAAAATTTCCAGTATAATTCGCTGTTGGGTACCCCACGAGAAAAAAATTTCCACTAAAATACCTCCGTTGCCATGGTGATCTGTCAAAAACACGTATTTTGATTGGTTCAAAATTACACAGGTGTGGAATTTTCAGAGAAAGAACTGCCTCTAACTTCAGATGATTTATACATCGAATATATGCTATGTATTGGTAAGTTTAAAACTTTCTATATAAATGCCAATACCAGTTTTGGATTCTAGCACAGCGCTAAATAAACTGTGTTCCATGGAATCACATATATCTGCCACATGTTGCATTAAAACCATACTACTAAAACAAACCAGAGGACATAAAAACGGTTTCACTTATAAAAAAAAATAAAAATCTGTTGTTTTTATGCCTCTTTAGTCCTATTTTTTATTTATTAATCAGTTTATTATTGACTCATTGTTTCTGATTAATATATTTGAAGGGCCACTGCAAAACCATCAAAGTCCATTTTTAGGTGATTTTGAGTTCTGGTGTTTAAGCAACAGTATCATGTGAGAAAATAAAACATTAAAAAACCACCACGGTTCCTTTGAAATCGCATACAGAAGATCGGGCATAGAATGCAATAAACATCAGAATCCATATATTTTTATTCTCCTGAAAAATTTGGTTTCATAGAACTTGATGGTTTTTGCTGTGGATTTTTCACGATTATTTTTATACTTATACTGTGTGTTTTTTGTTTTAGATATCAATTCTTTATTACGTCTGGGGCTATCTTGGATTATGTAGCAGCCCGATAGTCCTAGCTACTTCATATATTTAAATATTGGATTTGTTTTTTTTTTTAATAAATTTATTATTTTTGATTACGCTTATTATTCAAATATTAATTAAACCTAAAAACCCTGCAAGTCAAGTTAAGATTGGTTTACGTAACTAATTTTTTGCTTTATTGCAGCGAATATCGATATAACGTAAAAACAGAGTGTGTGTGAACAAATCTTAGTTTACTGTAGATGAAAAATACAAAATATCTTAAGAGTACTTTTCCAGTACTACATTGTTAATAATCTTGTGTGCTTCTAAAGCACTTTTCCGGCATTTGCAAGTGACGGGAAATTGTATGCCTAAAAATCGTCGCACGTGGGGATGCCGGCAGTGTGGTCTGACACAAATGCTGTGCCCGTACTGTTCACATCTATTGTGCCAGTTTTGGGCCATTAGGTGGGGAATAGGTCCATCAAATGAATAATATTTAAAAAAAAAAGGGAAATTTGACGCGAATAACCTATTTGGATACACTTTAAATAGCTTTTAAATACTTTAAAAGATTAAAATGAATTAAAGGAAAAATTAAAATATTAAACAGGATCGTGTCGACTCATATTCAATAAAACTTCCGCACGGGCCACAGCGGTCAGATGCAGGTAGTAATACATGTATTGGCGGGAATACGGCCAGAAGAACTTGATTTCTCAATGTAAACAGTCAGTTACTTCTGACCGCCGTGGCCTTGTAGGAAATATCAATGTCGGTCACCAGTGACCGCCATGGCGCTTAACGTGTTAAATATTTCTAGAGACGCAAATTGCAAAATTTTGATTGGTTGGTAGAAAACGATGTTAAAATATTGGAACTGTATATCGGACAAACGATAGTACCTTAAATATAATTATGTTCCTCGAAAAAATCAGAATTTACGGCAAGTACTATCTGACTGATTTGTTCAGTATCGGGCCAGGCTCCTCCATGCCTTGAATTTCCCATGGCTGGATGTCTGCTAAAATTCTTGATGCAGGTGGTTAGGTAGGGAATTTAACTGTCGCGGTGAATAGCAGTTTACAGTATGGAGGGGTTTAATAGAAATTAGGATATTTTATTACTTTTCGATCTAATATTTGTTTTTTTTTGCTTCAACTCAACATCGATTTTCTTCAGGAAATTAAATAAACAACTAGAAAATTACGTTTTAATAAAACATTTATCTTTTATGAACAATAATTGTACTTTTATCATGCTATAAATTATAAATTTTCTGATGTATATATAAAACAGACATATATAAGAAATCATTCAAGACCTATAAAAAAATTCTATAAAATCAACATTTTTATAAAGTATTTACAAACATCGTTGAGTATGTCTAACTATTATTGCATTTTCAACATTTTTTTCTTGACTAGTAATACATTTTTATGATATAAATTTCGCGTTAAGATTCAAAACGCATTTCCCCATCCACTCGAAGTACTGTGTGAGGAATAAATCCCGTCTAAAAAAAAACAACAAAATATATTAGCATAATTATTAATTGTGACAATTTCTAGAAGAGTCAAAACAATTACAGAACGATCTTTTGTTATACAGGGTGTCCCATTAGTGCGTAATTGATCAATATTTCTTTTTGTGTTATAGACACGCAAACGAGTTTCAAATAAAAGTTATATGGATTTAAAAAATGTTGCGTTTAATTTAAAAAATATACTGGCAAAAGTGCAACACTGCATATCCAAAAATATTTTTAAAATACGTATTTTTTTAAATCCATATAACTTTTTTTCGAAACTTGTTTGCTTATCTAGAACACAAATTGAAAAATTGAACAATTACGCACTGATGGGACACCCTGTATAATGCAGGTAGATAAAATCCAAATTAACTTTTATAAAACTGTATTATTTTTTAAAATTACATGTTAACCAGAGTTGGTACAGAATGTGCCGTAAAGTTGGCAAACGAATGGGATACTTTTTTATTTTATCTGCTTTCTTTAAAAATACTGTTAAACTGTGCACACTTGTCATAGCATATACAGGGTGATCAAAAGTGAAAAGTCGAAATTAACCTTAAGGCGGATACAGATCTGAGCACGTACGCGTATGAGGCAAGCCGAGGACGGATGAGCATGCAGATGTGGACGGGCTTCGGAAGCGCGCCAACTTTCCTCATTGTGTGCGCCGTACGGCCTCGCCCCGATCCGTTTATTGGCGGTACATCAAAGGGAAGCAATGCGCAATACGTGCTCAGTCTGGACGGGAAGTTTGTACCATACAGCACCCTACAGATTATAGCGAGTTTTTAGGATTTATTTTGCATGGAGTGGAACAAGGAAAACGTTTTGCTTCTCCAGGATTTAAATAATCAGCGTGATATCTTAAGGAAGCAAAAGGCTAGTTCTATTAGAACACCATTAAAAAAATTATATCCTTGGCAGGAAAACGGCCATTGATTCCTTTCTCTCCTTTTTCTTTAATGTGTCGGATAAAATAATAAAACATGTACTCAACTCCGCGACGTCATCCTCATCCTTCATTTTTGTTTTAATTTTACGAATTTTCTGGGTATACGGTAGCGTGCTCATGAATTTAGTGGATCAGTGGTGAACAGCGCCTCGTGCGTCCACCATTCGTGTATACAAAATGCGTCGCACGAGGCATTCGGTTCGGCCTCGGCTTGCCTCATACGCGTACGTGCTAGATATGTACCCGCCTTTAGACAACTTTTTTGTTATTAATATTATTAAAAAATATATTCTTTATAAAAAGTTCTGCATAGCTTAAAACCAAAAATCCAACTGTCAAATATCAAAATTAATCAGTAACATACACGGTTTGTCAGAAAGTTGTGTACAAATAGAAAAAAATTGTTCTACATGTACACAACTTTCTGACAAACCTCGTATATGATTGATATCTTGTGGTAGTCGGCTTTTTTGTAAATAATAAAAATGGTTGTCAACTTTAAGGGACATATTGTTTATTAACAATATGAAAAACATTTGTTTGGAGTTTCTGTTAATGACAGTAATAATAATTAATGAGCAGAACTGTATTTGTGTTCAATACAATCCTGTATGTTTTCTAATTATTTTATCTATTTTAAATGTTAAAGGTATTTTGATCACCTGCTAATAGTTATTAGTATCTTTGTTAGAATATCTAAAATACTTTTCATAATCCATTTGTTTGTGAAAAAAATATTACAAACCTCACTAGTTCCAGTCCTAATTTTCCAAAAACCATCTTTGTAACCTTCCTTTCCTACAACTATAACACTTTCATCCTCTCTTACACTAACTTGATATCGATCCTTGCAATCATAACTTCGAATAACTGTGGCTTTTAATTGTCGAAATGGCCATAATAGTTTTGTATTTCTATCTAACCTAATCAAGAAAATATAAAAATTTATAAATTATTAAAAAAATAATGTAATAATTTATAAACACAATAAGAAATATTTAATAAAATTCATTTTGTTATTTTACCTTTCAAAATTTTCTTTCAGACTGTAATTTTGATAATTGAGCACAAGTTCTTCAATACTATTGAAAAACTTCGATTGAGACAAATAATACTTCTTCGCATCACCAGGAATTTCATGTTTGCAACATATTTTCATATGTTTAACAGTATCAGTCCTGAAAAAAGAAGCAGCCATGAGTTTTAGAATTGTTAGAAAAATCTAATTTATTCAAATAGCGAAATAGCAACTAGTTATTTGATACAATGTTTTGTATCTTAAACATGGTATTAGGGATAATACCTGCATAATTTTATACAGACAAAGGGGTGCAAATAATCAACGTTTTTTCTTTTTAATATCTATACTAAAAAATAGATAACAATATTTTTACTTAGGCAGAAGATCCCTATATGGCATTGAACTATGGGGCTGCGCCAACATCATAGTAATTTAATGGGTACAATTAAAAGTTATTTGCTCAATAGTCGAAGACCCTTGGTATGTAAATGTGATGATACACCTAGATCTCCATATCCAAATAGTCTGAGATATTCCTCGAAAAAGCCATAAACACCATCAGAATCTGGAAAGTCACACCAGCACTATCACTTGTACAAGAGGCAAACAACAGAAGATTGAAGAGGCATCGATCAATAAATCTTAGATAAAATGGAAGAGTACATTTCACTAAAGCTCGAGGAGATTTCTCTAGGTGCCTTAGAAGGCGCGTCGCGTCTGTTATCTTTCACTGAAAGAAGAGGATCTGACAAACTGACCTTCAATTGGATTAACAGTATGCTTGGACGTCGTTACATCACTTCATCACTGCGGGAAGAGAGAGTTGCTTTCAGGCCGGCCAGAGGGTGTCAACAAGACCAATCTGATAGAAGATAACCTGCTAAATGATCTCTCGTAGCGGAGTGGAATTCCAATGATATGCAAATGACTTGGTTACCATAATTTGGAGAAAGTACGAGGAAAAAATATCATACATCCTTCAAAAAGCTCTAAATACGATCAACAGATGGTGCTAGGAGGAGATATCTGTTAACCTCCGAAAAACTGTTATCGTCCCCTTCATTAAGATGAAAAAACTCGACAAACTGCTAAGGCTGGGGAAAACATTCCGTATGCGGATCAGTCCAAACTGATATGCTGGACTTATCAAACCGTTGTAAAACCAATGGTTACCTACGGCTCGGTTGTCTGGTTTGATAAGGGACTTCAAGGGACAGCCAGCACAAAGTTTTCTAAAATTCAACGGCTTGCGTGCATCGGCATCACTAAGGCAATGTATCTTCACCGACGAGAGCCATGGAGACTATGCTGAACCTAATCCCTTTTCACAATTTGATGGAAAGGTATGCCAGGTTGATCTCCTACAGACTCCTGACAGTGGGCAGTCAGTACAAGAAGAACTGCGAAGGAACAAAACAGGATTGTTGAGTGAAATTAATAAGTAGCACATTTTCGGCATATTTCCCAACAGCACAGAAAAATTACACAACGTCTTCATCCCAGAAAGAGAAGAATGGAGCAAGGAGAACACTTATCTCTCACAGACGGACTATATTATGCACTGTACACGGACGGTTTTAAAACTGAAAAAGGAGTAGGAGCGGGAATATTTGGCAAAAAACCAAGTGTTGACATATCAATAAACCCTCTCAGCTAACAAAATAAATTATAAAACCAAAATCTGATTTTTATATTAATAAAAATTACATTGGTTTATTCGGTCGTTTTTATTTTCTATTGTTTAGCACAGCACTACATATGTTTCGTCCCCATGTTTTATTAAATTTGGACTGCACCCGAAGTTGGAAAAGTTTTCCGAAACATATGTAGTGCTGTGCTAAACAATAGAAAATAACAACGACTGAATAAACCAAGAAAATTTTTATTTATATAAAATTCTGCTACGGTCAAGAAATTATTCTTATTCAAAATCTGATTGTTGTTCAACGTATAAAAATATTTATAACTCGCAAAATAGAAAATTAAGTCAGATAAATTAAATCTAAAATCAGTAACCAAAGGTCAGCCAAATATCAGATTTACTGCAAAAAAACAAATTAAATTTTTAATATGTCATCTAACTACTGGCATTTATGTACTGGAAACTTCATACTGGAATTCAGAATAGCTCACTTCTACAATAAATATTTTTATCTTTCCCTCTCATGAAAAAGGAATTTTTAAATGGCCACAGCTTTAAGGCGCACTTGTAAAATGGTAAAATGTTTACCACCCTGAAAAGGGGAAGAACTCATATAGCAGGGAATCAAGAAAAATGATATGTCCTAGTAAAATGTAAAAGAAAAACTTGATGAAATGAATATCAAACTAAAAAAAAATGCTTACAGGCAGACAGGATCTACCACAAATTGTTGTGGAATGTAAAATTGCAGGTACATATTTGGGGTAATGTTCTATGGTTATAGAAATCCAAATTGTACGTATATTTGGGGTTATATTCTATATAATTATCCTATCACTTAGAACATTAATTTAATCTAGTGGCTTATTCTTAGCTACATGAATTAAAGCAGTAAATAAAAAAATCTGTTTTTAGTTACATTACCATGCTCGTTGCCATAATTTAAAAAAATTATCAATGCCTCAAAGTGAGGAATACAATGAGAATACAGAATACAGACGACAAGCAGCAACACAGACGTTCAGTATCAAAATAAAAGTGGAAGAAGTAGCAACGGTGTTGTTTTATTCTGTTCGTCGGCAAAAAAAAAAATTGAAACGACGTAGGTACTGGGTGTATCCATTATGTATAGACCCTTATGTAAAAGGCTCATTTAATTTATTATATAAGGATATACGTCAACACGAAGATAAGTTCTTCAAATATTGCAAAATGAGAGTAGTGTCATTTGACGAACTGCTAGCGCAGATTCCCGAACAAATAATTTTGTCGCTATTTAATTTCAATTAACTGTTCAATATTTGAGGTCGGTCTTGAATATCGCATATAAATTCATCTATATCAATACAACTGTAGGGCATTTTTTCACTGAAACTGTAGAGAAGTTAACAGGAAACTCCAACCCTCAACTGACGTTTCGCACGCGGTTAGACGTTTGTATGAGTGATGCTCCATATGTATCCATGATAAAGCTAAATCGCAGGCTTGTCATTTCTAATTTACAGCCGCGATCGACCACGCGACAGAACCGCGTTAATGGGCTTTGAGTCATTTAAAAACATCTAAAGCCGCGCGACGTTTCACATGAGTGGGGTTTCCCTCTAAGACTAATTTCCAATGATAATGTTTAATGTAAATACGCCTGCCGGCCCAGTAGTCATTTTCTGTTTTTGAAATTATCGCTATTTCCCGTGAGAATGCGCGGATGAAATTGTTATTAGCGTTAGCTGGCGTAATGAAAAAAGACTCACTCGAAATACGTTGTATGTTTGTACAAGAAATGTAATTTTTTTTGCTGTATTTAAAACAAATAAAGTGTTTATATAAAATGGGTCAAATAATTATTAATTAAAGTTGATTCAGTCCACAAAGAGCCAAGAATAAACAGATAAAATGACTGTAAATACAATCATGATACAAGCACCACTGTAATAATTGTAAACGAAATAAATGTATTCCTACTTTATCAAAAATTACCTTAATTGGATCACTAGGTACTAATTTAATAGTGTTACGTATTTTTATTTAAAACATAATAGCTTATTGGACTTACTTTAATGTGAGAGCATATTTATCATTATCATCACTCAACGGTCTAATCCTAACCATAAAAGTACCATTCTCCCTGTTTTCCAAATTCCTACTAGCGTTATTTCTATCCATTTCACCCACAAACCACAGTTTATCCCTTAACGGGTCACTAAACCCGTTACTCATGGAGGGGCTCATTTGCAAAGTTTGTCCACATTTTCCGGAATTTTGAATACAACCCTTGTGGACGCTTATACCGCACGTAGAGCACTTGTATCCTTGGGAAATGAGACCTTTCAAATATTTAGAACAAAAAAAACATTGGGTAGGTTGCGAAAAAGTGGTAAGTTCAAAATTATGGCTGGTGTGTTTAAGAGCCTTCGGTTTCAGATTGTCTCTAAAAAAAAATTTATTTTATACAGTGACTGAAGAAGTTATAACATAAACATAATTCATTTATTAAATGAAAATGTAGAACTGGTAGGAAGGATGGGAATCAATTTGAACATCATAATTATTAAATATAGTCAAAATAACTAATTTTACATGGCAATAAACACTCTTCATGTTTAAAATAAAAATACAAAAGTTACAGTCAACATACATTCTCGCGAAAATTTATAAATTAAAAATGACATATTTTTAAGAAAATAGAGGGTACCCAAATGCTCTAATGTCAACATCTTAAAGGTACTTCAGAAAAATTCCTAATCAGTCCCACGTTAAAATATTTTATTGTTGTTAAAAGACATTAAGCCATCATCAGGTCTAAGATATAAGAAAATACGATTGTTAAATATTAAATGCATATATAACGATCTTAAGGTTGCGCTTACCTCCGTGGTTTTTTAATATGCTCACAGATAACACTAACAAACTCATTTACGTGATAATTGTAATTCAAAATATTCAATAGTGGTCCAACTAAAAGGTTAACACCACAAAATATTCTGACCTACTGCTTAAATCATTTGGCCACAAGTATTTCGGCAGACTTAGTAATTTTTACTATTTATGTAGTAATTTGGTAGCTCAATTTTATCTTCTAGGCAACCATGTCAAATTTAATAAATAAACAAAAATATTAGGGTTCACTTGGTACCAATAAATTATAGATTCAATAAATTCATTATACTTTCGAACATAAACAATAAAAAAAATATTTCAAACCAGAACATAGTTATTCCATATTTTTTTATATAGAAAAAGACGAAAAACATCACTATTTGTGTCGTGATGTATGAAAACACTTTCTATTTCAGTAGAACCGACAACCTCGCATCAAAAATGTATGTTATGAAGACTATACTTGAACAATTTTTAAATGATGGTGACTTATCTTGCGGATTGAACTGTGGTCAACTGGCAACAATGTAATTCTATTATGATTTTCAGACACATACTTTGATATTCTTTTACTATACGGAGAATGGTCGCACTGCGCAGCTTTCTGAGTGCCTTTTAAAAGGAGATAGAAAACTCCGCCATTTTGATACCTTATTACGTGTTGCCTACATCTTGGCGCAATATTTTTAATAGGTGCGTTTTAATCATCCGCTTCTGCTTCGGAATTGTCGGTTTTCTTGTTTAAATCTGACAGGTTAAAACGACTAAACCGACAATTCCGGAAGCAGAAGCGGATGATTAAAAGTTTATTGCTAAAGAATCAGTTAGCTCACTCGGACCAGTTGAAAGTTCCAAAATAACATCCACTCCAAGGATACAAATTCAGGATACGCAGAAGACTGCTGTTTTATTATAGGCGGTTGTCATATATTGTATTATCCGAGTTGCGCAGTGTATAAACTGGAACATTGAGATCAAAAGTGCCGACGCAGAGTGAGCGATCTGATTCTTTAGCTATAAACTGTGGCATAGGAATCAAAATGGCCGCGCCCTATGTTGGGCGTGTCGGACCTCTCTCTTGCACCGTATAGTAATCAAAGTATGTGTTTTCAGAGCTCAACTTAGCGAGATCATTTTATTGTTTATACTTCGTCAACGCGGAAATTTAAAAAGTTAGATTATTCCATATTTACTCCTCGTGCAAATTTTATATCTAGCCAAGTTAGGTAAATACTTTGAATCAGTGATAAACTCGTCAATACTAAGATCTACTCGGAAGGCTACTAAACCAGTTAGGTATTAATTCAATTAAATAAATCAGTGTCGTAGCGTAAGACAGGTATATGGTGGGTTGTAGCAGTTTATTTTTATGTTAAACTAAAGTGTTGGTAGTGTATAACTTTTTCGTGTTGACATTGCCCGGCTAACTAAGATAGACATTGTGTTATATTTATTATTAAGGTAAGTAAATAACGGATATGTAGACCAGTCTAATTAAGGGTACCACATCACTTTCGGTTTTTGATATTATGATACAAATTTGAATTTTAGTTAATCCTTTCCTGGCTAATGAGGCTCACAGGTAGTTGATGGGTTAAATATTTATCGTGTGGCACTGACCCCGCATAATCTGTTATAAATAGGTACATTTACCCTAATTTCCAAATAATGGTTGAAATAAATAAGTACATATATGGGCTATTTGTTTTATTTATTTTACTTACGTGGATTTTTTATTTGTGTTCGAAACTTTAATTTGAGTGTTTATTATATTTCCAGTATATCAAAGTTTATTCAATATTAGCATTTTATCGCGAATCATTATTACGCCGCTGAGGAGGATTATGGGTAATTCTATAAATACATTGTTGCCGGCCGACCATAATCCTTCGATGAGTCACCATCATTTAAAAATTGTAATAGTATAGTTATTGATTTTTTGCATGTGTTCAAAACTTCAATGTCGAGGATGTCAATTTTGTATTCTGTAAATTTTTGTTATTAATCATCGCTGTTGTTGAACAGCTCTGATTTTACCGCAATGGCCGTAATCCACTACAATAGCCAAATTAACCCCAATCAAGATTAATAATTAATAAGTACATTAGAAAGGATAACGGTCCGATAAATTTCTTATTAAACTAAGGTATAGTTAGTACCAATCGCAAATAAATTTGTAAAGACGGTTTTTCCCAAGTAACATATATTTGATATAACTGGAGGTTTAAAAAGATTATACGGAATTAATTAAAAGGCAGTACTGACAATAATCTCATACTTCAACGATGTTTTTTGCTAAATTAAATGTTTGTAATCGTATAAAAAGTATATGGTCCTTTGACAAAATACAAGTTTTTAAAGAAATTTCCAGTAGTTTCCCTACACTCATTTATATTATTCTTAATATACATATTTACAAGTAGGTGGAAAAAATAAAAATTAAAACAAATAAATATAAAAATAAATAAATAAAAATAAATAAAAATAAATAAAAATAAATAAAAATAAATAAAAATAAATAAAAATAAATAAAAATAAATAAAAATAAATAAAAATAAATAAAAATAAATAAAAATAAATAAAAATAAATAAAAATAAATAAAAATAAATAAAAATAAATAAAAATAAATAAAAATAAATAAAAATAAATAAAAATAAATAAAAATAAATGAAAATAAATGTAAATAAATGAAAATAAATAAAAATTAATAAAAATAAATAAAAAAAAAAAATAAATTAAAATAAAAATACATAAAAATAAATAAAAATAAATAAAAATAAATAAAAATAAATAAAAATAAATAAAAATAAATAAAAATAAATAAAAATAAATAAAAATAAATAAAAATAAATAAAAATAAATAAAAATAAATAAAAATAAATAAAAATAAATAAAAATAAATAAAAATAAATAAAAATAAATAAAAATAAATAAAAATAAATAAAAATAAATAAAAATAAATAAAAATAAATAAAAATAAATAAAAATAAATAAAAATAAATAAAAATAAATAAAAATTAAATTAATAAAAAATAATAAAAAGTAATAAAAATTAAAAAATATTTTTATTTTAAAAATCTATCTTTTTACCAAAACGGTCAAAAAATTCAGCGTTTTTTAGAAAATTTTATAACTTCTTGATTTGCATATTACATTAGTTTTTAAAAAATATATAAACCGTTTTCGTGATATCTTGAAATAAATGCATTACATGACAGGCTTCAAGAGTGTTAATTATCCACAATTATGATTGTTAATATATCGTTTCACAGATGGTCAAAAAATTATGTAAAAGACATTTTCATTAACCTTACATTTCAATTTTATTGAATTCTTAAAAAAGCCGTATTACAAGTGAACTACCTTAATAAGTATTTTTTAACACCAATATTTGAAGGCAAGATGTTTGAATATCTTAAGTTATTCGATAAAGTAGTTTAGTTATAAAATTATGAAATTAATTTAAATGCAATCTAAAAAACTATTCCGAATAATTTAGTGTTTTTTAAAAAATCATTTAACCACTTATTTAGCATTGTATTATGATGAAAATTGTTCATAGTAAAAGCTCAAACTTTGTTTTATTTATAGCTCCTTTAAAAATTCAGGAAATCTTTTAACTTTTTTCAATAACTATCTTCGCGGTGCTTGATATTTTTGCATACACTATTTTGCTGCCATTATTGTGGTAATCGTAGCCTTAATGTTAGTACATACCTATGTGACAATTTAAAATGTAAAAACAAAACTGGGAAATCTCTAAAATGTTTACAAACTACTTAGCGACATGTGGGAAAGTTAACAAAATTATTAAAATAGTGGGAAAAGAAAATATAACATAAAATATGTGTGAAAAATTAATCAGTTAATTTAAGGTACCCACACTTTACAACAAAAATTCGTATTGGTCGAAGTGGGCCAACGCCTACATATACAGTCCATCAATAAAATAGATTTAAATTATAAATGGTGAGTGTGGCATTCAAATGTATATGCTAAACGCCACCACCAGCTATGATTGCCCACTTGTCTACGATTATTGTACCAGACCGGGCGCTTTCGGTCTTTTCCCTCTTCAACCAACAGGAATTTTTGTTGTACAATGTTGGTACCGTTTTTATATTAACTGATAAATTTTCCTAATTTTTCTCACACAACGTATGTTGTATTTTCTTTTCTCACTATGTTAATAATTTTGTTAACTTCCCACATGTCGCTGAGTTGTTTGTAACCATTTTGGAGATTTCCCAGTATTATATTTACATAGGTGTTAGCGAAAGGGGTTTCCCCGTACATTTATTTAACATAAATCCTTTGACTGTAGTGGACTGTTGAACGGTGGATTGCTGGGTTTATACTTTATTGGTGTAAAATAAAAAGCCGGCAATAAAATTAATCTTGGAAAATCAGCGAACTGTTACATCACAAAAGAACTAAACCATTTTAAATTCGTAGCAAAGCACTAACGTGGAAAAAATTAATCATACTTTTGCTAGTATTTCGATTTTTATTATTATAATACAGTTAACATGGCGACTGACGTCTGAATGAAGGGAACATTTTAAACGGTAAACAGAGATGCTGCTCCGTCTAGTTTAGTTAGAATGATCTTCTCAATGTCGGTTAAGGCGAATTCGCGCGTAAGGGCGCTTGGCTTGCATTGCCGCGTCAGACCAATCGGCTTGAATGAAACCATCCACACGACAGCCTTCAATTGGTCATTTGAAGTAACGTGGATTACGTAATCACCTCGAAAATTCTATGCATTCCAGAGTTGGCTTTTAAATTCAAATATTTAACAATCGTATCGTCTTATATTTTAGACCTGATGATGGCTTGGCTTAATGCCGAAAGAGGTTGTCTCTTAAAAACAAAAAAGTATTTTTATGTAGGACCAATTTTGAGTTTTTCTTAAGTATATTTTTAAGGCTTTTATGCCTTTGAAACGTATTGATGTAAATTACATGACCATCCAAAAGACACCCACGAAGTTTTACAAAATCGTAAAAATCAAATAGAAATATGTTAATCATTGATTATTGAAATAATAAATCAAAAAATTACTTACAGACAATCATTTATAGCCTTGATAACTTTTTGTTTGAGCTCTGCCGTCCTCAACGATATAGTAAAAGCATTCTGGTTATCATTTTTAACAAGACAAAATTGGAAAAACGCTCTTGCTTCCTTATTCAAAATTGCCCTGTTGTGAATTTCTTCTACATGATAATCTGCAATATTTATTAATTCCCGGAAAGCGAACTGGTTGCCCTGCAAAGTTATAGTTTTTATCATTTATAACAAAAAAAAATTAAAATAAAGAAGAAGATAATAAAATAAAGCAATTAATTAGTATTGTTTGTCTTAATAAAAGATTAATAAGTACAGTTCATCAAATTTCTAGAGGCTTTCGACGGCTAGACAGAGAAAGCACTACTGACAGGCATCCCGACGGATTTACGCAATGAAAGTACACTCTGCGCATCAAGTATTTCACTATATCATTCAGACGTAAATGTCAGATGTAAATTTCGCTAAAACATTTATTTTATTTTCGTTTGTGTTTTTTGCTCATTACAGTTTAATAGAACCTAAGTATGGAGTTTAATAGCAAATTAAGAGGCTGCGTGATTAACAGTCAATCTCGCGAAATAATAGCCAATGTTATAGAGTTTATGAGAAGAGAAGGAAACTTTAATTCACCTTCAATACCATTTAAAAATGTAAATGATCGTGTTGCTGCAGCCACAGGAGTATCTAAAAACACTGTCGTCCGCATTTCTGGAGAGAAAAAAAGAATCGATAACCGTGAGATATCGGAATTTTCATCACCAAGAAAAACCATTAAAAAACCAAAAACAGTTAATGATATAGATGAAGCTGCACAAGAATCAAATTTTATTTTTTTATTATTAGATAGCTATTTTTGTTTCTGAGTTGTGTTCATTTACAGGCTCAATTTTTTTCCGTTTCTCCTTTTTGATTTTATATGAGGTTTCAAGTTGTTTTTGACTTATTTCGACGTAAATCACAACAACACACTTTTTTAATAAAGCAAACAAGTGTTAAGAGGTATATGTACGTGTAAACTACAATTACAAAAAATTGATATGAAACCCATGAAAACACCAACAAAAATGTAAAGCTAGCTTCCGTACTAGGACATGGTGTCATTCGTCGAGATAATTTATCGTTTTGTTTAATAGATCAAGAAATGTAAATATTCCCCTGTTATTTTTTATAAAATTATAAGAGAAATAAATTTTTTTCTAAATAGTATAGTTTATTATTTTGTAGAAAAACAAAATTTCGAAAATTTTAGTAATGTTTCAGAAACAACCGTTATTAATAATAGGTACCATTTTCCTTAATAAGGTAGAAATAAAATATAAACTATTTCCACGATTTACAAAGGCCTACAAAAAAATTATAGGTATTTTCCGCTATCCTATAAAATTTATATTTTCTGACTCAATTTCAAAAGGTTGAAGGAATTCCAAAACACCTTTTATGGCATAATAATTATTTTCAATTCTACATACTATCTTTAGCTGCTTTTAAAAACGTTCTAAGAAAGTCCAATCAGACCAATTTAATCCCTAAACTATTCCACACTTTTAAAATTTAATTACCTAGAAATATTAAAAACTATTTAAAATAACTTGTTTAGCAGACTGTACAATAGCTATCTTAGTCACACGTAGCGCGTTCTCTGTCTGGGCGTCGAACACCTCTAGAAATTTGATGAACTGTAGTATTATTAATATAAAGACTTTTGATATTTATAAACTTCTAATTTGAACAAAAACATTACCTTAAGCTGCTTACAGATCAAAATGCACTTGTCAAAAATAAAAACGTATCTATTCCTAGTCTTCTGATCGTCATGGGCTTTAATCCTGAGGCTGGCGTCTATCACTAACCTACCAAAATCGGATAATTTTTGATTGGGGTGGACATTCCATTCCGTTATCGTTTCTTGTAAATTATTTATCACATCTAAATGCTCGCTGTCTCTGGCTACTTCGTTGATATAACCAGCGACGTCACGCATAGCTTCTTTAGCTCGTTTCAGATCATTATACTCTTCATGAGTCTAAAAAATATATGTAAATGTAAACCTATAATGTATATTTGTTTGACGTAAATTCAAATACGATAATTAATTTAAAATAATATCGATAGGAAACGTTTGTTATCTGCAGGCGAAAAATTATTTGAATACCAATGCTAATAACAGTTTAATACTTTCTTGGATTCCCCACATAAATTACTTATGCAACAAACTTGCTACCATAGGTTTTGCAAAAAAGAAAATTTAACATATTGTTAAAAAAAGTTCAATTTTTAGTTCATGGAATACTAAGATAGGGAAATGCAGACAAGGTTCATAAACAAAGGGTAATCATTTTATAAAAATCAACGATACGAACTATTGGAGCTAAATTTGATGAAAACTGCAACCTAGTTTTAAAAAATTATAAATTATAACTACTTCCTCCTTAATGCTGTCAACTTTTCAAACAGATAGTGCGTAAACATACGCCGTTACTATGAATCTCAGTAAACAATTCGGGCATTTTCTTTATCATGAATAAAATCGAGTGTCATGTGATGATAAAAAAAAATCTGTTTGGATGGCTTAATCCATTAATAACCAACCCATAAAAGAAATAAAAAATTAATTATAAATTTTTATAAACCTTTTATTAAAATACCTTCATTAGAATAAAAAATTAACAAAAAAAAAATTAAAACATGTATTTTACAAAAAAACAGGGTGTTGCGTAAACGCATCACCGGTCAATGATACATATGAAAGCAGCCAACGTGAAGGTAAACGTTATATTTTCTGCATGTATAAAGTGTCTGGCATTGACATCTTCCTCGTATTTCCGTCTTCTGTGGAGTATGGCTACTGTGTTTATCTCGTGGGATTTCACTTGGTAGTTTTATCTAACGGATTTCCTAATTTTTTTTGAGGTATTTCTACTTTCAATAAGCACAAAACAATGTATGATTTAAATTCTAGCTGCGACATTTTTTTAACTTGTGTAATATTATACATTTTCCATAAATTTTCTATAATGTTGTCGATTATGTTTCTGAATAAGGGCCACCACCACTATTTTTTTCCCTTTATATTTATTCTATAATTCTACTCCATTGTCGTGAAGGTGAACACCTCCCATGTATATATTATACTCAGCCACAACATTTGGTTGTCAAGCTTGAACAACCTTCTTTGTCGTCTATTATATCTGTTAGCTGTTTTTCCAGAAAATGAATGATAGTGTGTACACCTAAGACGTGGCGGAGTTATAAAATCGGCCCCTCTCAGCATTTCACTCTTTCCGTCAGTACACCTCATTAAAGTACCGGAAATATTTTATCTCTAATAATAAATAAGGATAGCTGAATAAAATGCATTAAGTCTGTACTTGAAAATGTATTTCTGGACTGTGCTACTATTTGACGCGACGTGATGCGTTTACGCACCACTTAACTTTGAACTTGATTATTTTTATCATTTTATTAAGTAAGGAATAGAAGAAAATATTTTAAATTTGTTTAAAAAAAGCTATGCCTATTTAAAAATTGCTCATTTTCACGAAAAAATATTTTTAAAAATACAAAATAAATTCAAAATGTTAACGTATTTTAGTTCGCTGGTATATTAATGTATTGAAAAAAATTAGATACTATCATAAATATATAATATTGATAATTAAAAAAAGTAATTTAAGGTATTTCGTAAACGCATGAATAAATAAAAACAGTCTTCTCCTTCCTATGAAACAGTTACAAATTGGGCTGCAGAATTTAAACGTGGTAGAACAATCACAGAGGATGCACCACGTTCTACTGTTTTAACAGACCAAAAACAGTTCCAGATGAAGAAACAATTGAAAAAGTCCATGAAATCTTGATAAATGATCGCTGAGTAAAGTTGAGAGAAATGGCAGAGAAAGTAGGCATTTCATACAATCGCGTAGATGGTGCCGTCTCTTGAAATTCAATCAAATGCGAATTCGAATGACCATAACTAGACATGTTTAAACGTAATAAAAAATATGTTTTTCTAAGTGACATCTTTTTAAATGGGAGAAAGTGTCAAAAGGATCTACTTCATGGAAGTTATGGAACTGCTTAAGAAATATTCATTATGTCACCAGTACGCCAGTTGCGAAAAGAAAACGACTAAAAATAAACCTTTTTCTTTTTGTTTTTTAAGTTAATTCAAAAGTTTATATCGAAGGAATATAGGTTGGTTTTATAATATTAGAGTTTTTTAATGAACTTACAACCTAGTAATAATTATGTTTCGGTTCCTAGTTTCTATCCTAAATCTGCATAAAAAGAAAACACTGATCCACTCTCATTCAATGCCCGACAAAAAAACTCACTTTCTTGAAAACTAACAAGCTATAACAAAAAAGAAACAATCGACAACTAGAAGTGGTTTAGTTAAGAAAAATTATATACGATTGTCTAAATAATATATGTCAATATGCCTCTTTTAATATTTGAAATAACTACTTGTGCTTATTCAAATAAATCAAATTATATAAAATGCCATATTTTTCTCTACAATTTTCCAAATATTCTTTTTATAAAATCTTTGAGTGAAAGTACAAAAAAATAATGATTAGTAATTTTTTACCAAACACAAATTTAAAATTTAGTCAAAATTAGAAAAAAATTGTAGGTAACACGTTATGAAATGCTATTTTGTGTAACGTGTTCATGTTGCAGGACCTCGCTCTGCTCGTCCAGTAAATATTCACTCGTTGCATAATTTAAGGCAACTGGTTGGATAAGATGATACGTGGATACATCAGTATATTCTGAAGACCAAAGAGCAGTCAAAGTTATGGACCAAACACGGTGAGCCAACTGCAAAGAAGGCCAAGACGATTCCGTCTGCTAGAAAAGTGATGACTACCGTCTTTTGGGATTCCCGCAGAATAATTTTTATTGATTACTTGCAACATGGAAGGACAATAACAGGTGAATATAATGCTGCGTTTTTTGACAGACTGAAGGAAGAAATCATTGCTAAAAGCCCTAATTTGGCAAAGAAAAAGTATTGTACCACCAAGGTAATGCCCCGTCCCACAAGTTGGCAATTGCGATGACAAAACTACACGAATTTCGATTCCAGATAATAGAATGTGCTCACCAACATTATCAACTAATACTATTTAATAAAACCGAAAAATCGTTTAAATAAAACACACGACATCGGTATAAAAATTTTCCATATCCTACTCAGTGTGTGTTATGCAATTAAAGATACTCGTTAATATGTATTTGTATGATATGGAAGATTATTTTGTAGTGTTCATTTTAATTTTTAGTGTATATAGTTTTGCGAGATATGTATTTCACTTATTTATTTATGAAATGTTACATTTAATACTGTACTTTTGATGACTATAAACAGACCACATGTCCAAAATTAGAAATATATTTTTCTTATTCCTGAATGACAATAACATTTCCGTTTTCTTCGGTGTTAAATAATTTTCCTTATACCTAAATTTATACTTACTTCTATGGTGTGCTCTATTAATTTGTCCAATAACAGATGATATTTCAATATTCTTTGCATTGGCACTGACAGAACATCTCTTAACTTAAATCTACCATTGTTATCTTCTTTTTCATATCTCTAAAAAACCATCAACTTTAAAGCTATATTTCTATACATTTATCAAATTTTCATCTATTTATAGCGACTAAGTTTGACTTACAATTATCATTTGATTAAATATTTCCTCATTATCACAGAGTTCTTGTAGAATCGATGTAGCTTTAGTTAAATTGGCACAATATACTCCATAAATCAAGAATTTCTCCCTAAACCTCATAAAAATATTACTAATTCTTACGTTAGTATTAACTCTGATACGTAACAATTCCTCTAAAAATTCTGCGTGAACATCTTTTAATTCCTAAAAGAAAACATATTGACTCAGATATGAAAATTTGCAGGTATGTTCACAACCCATTTGCCTTAAATATGACCCTTAATTAGCGACATCATGAACAAATGGCTCTCAAAAATTATATATTAAATAAGATAAAATCCAACGACGAACAACTACTAGACTAGTCCTTTTATTTAAAAAAAAAATTGTTTACTTGCAGGTATTTAAGTTATGCCGGCATAGTCAGTAGTGCAACAACCACAAGTGAAAATAGTGTTGAGTAATATTTCTGTAAAGCCAATTTTTACTTTTTATCATTTTTAAAAATTTATTGTAAAAAAGCAAACAGGTGAGGTAATAGTAAATTTGTATAATTACTTTAAAAGTACGAATAGTGAAAACGAAAACATCTGAATCAAGATGTAAATTTATACAATAATCAATTAAAATACTTTGTAACAAACGTTTCTGTTAACACAGTAGGGAGAATATTACAAGGCCAGCGCTCATTAAAAAATAACGCCAAAATAGGTTTTGCAATACAAAAATGTGTAAGAAAGTCAAACTATATTCGCCGTATAATACATGATATTCATAAAACAAAATTGTCGAATCAGTATTAAAAAATGAAAACAAAAGATTAAAGATGATTTAGATATTTCCGCATCAGAGACGAAAATACGAAGAATTCTGCGCAAAACCGGGGTTTTGGAGGAGAACACAATAATAGGAAGGCTTTAATTGAGAAGATGGAGATAAGAGCTTTAAGAATAAAATATTTAAAAGTAATCAAACATTTCAAAAACCAAAATAGGTCTATTGTTTACATCGATAAGACATACGTGCACAGCAGGCATATATCTTCAAAAAAGTTGGACATATGATTGAACCAAAGGACTATTAATGAACATTTCGAAAGGCTAACAGCTAATAATAGTTCATGATGGTGGTGAATTAGGATTTATTAAAGACGCTCTATTGCTATTGAAGTCTGGATCCAAATTCGCCGACTACCATTCACAAATGAATTTCACGAATGGTTACGGGAAAAACTAATTCCAAATTTACTTGCTAATTATGTAGCTGTGTCTTCTACCATTCTGTACAAGTTAATCCAGCACCTAATAGTAATTTAACCGAAAACGATATTATTGGATGGTTGATACAGAAAAATATTTCTTTAAAACCAGAACTATATGAGTTTAATAAAGAATGCTTTATAACTTATCAGTTCGATGAACTTTTACGAGAACATTGTCACACAGTTTTACGCTTGAAAAAAACAGTGAGAACATGTTATTAGAATAGAAGACAAATATTTAAAAAAATTAATTCAAATCGATGTTTTTAAGAATGTTCATCCATTTATAATTAACTTAGGAAATGATTCAACAGACGAAGCAATGACGATAGTGGATTTTTATTTTCTCCTGAAGATGAAAATTTAATTTAGTGGATATTAGGATGTACTGTTTTAGGATTTATCATATTATTGTATTGTTTTCAACGCACTTTTGTTCTTAAATTGCATTTTTGTCATATACGAGGGTAAGGTAAAAAGTTCTCGGCATGACACAGAGATGGCGTTCCAATCAGCAAAAATTTATGCTTCCTGTCTGGGTACACGTTTCAAATTGTTCTCTTAATTAGTTTGTCCAATTTTTTCAGTAGACGTCTTGCGCGTTTTTTGTTAAAATAGATAAACTTGAATATCGAATCATAAAATCCTTCATTTTGGATGGATTAACCCCTAAGGAAATTCTTCTGAAGTTGACAAAAGTTTAGGGGGATTCTGATCCTTCCATGTCAACCGTTAAAAAGTGGGCAGCTGAATTTAAACGTGGTTCGAAAATGACCCACGTGAAGGACGGCCAAAAACCTCCACCAAATCGGAAAACATCAAAAAGTGCATGATATCGTGTTGAACGATGGGCGAGTGAAAATTAAACACTAGAGAGCGCTAATTTCAACTGTAGTGCTTCTATATTTCCCGCACGGTCCCTTTATATTGTTTGTCACTTTTAACAATAGTTGCAACCATAAAAAGACATCAGTTAATAACTGGCATAAAGAATGCAAGTATACTTTCTTGATACTTCTTTAATGTCATTTTGAAAGTCTTCTGTGCGTTGTAGAGCCTTGTTAAGTAAATTCCAAATTATTACCACAAACTCTGTAATAATATGGCAACTACGTTGGATAACAACGTGAATGTTTGCAATTCGATTTAACAAAATTGGTCTAGTGGTTGTTCGTAGTTGTTCCGATACAAAGGTGCTCTTATAACTTTTTTCAAGATCAATGTCTCGTCTAGTTAAATGACTAAGAAAATTTGGATATCGCGAAAAAAAAACTATATTTTATTTAATTAACAGTGTATATTCATATGATATTTGGTTGTAAAATTAATTCAATTCGACTTCATCTGAATATAGCCTAAAGCGACAAGGGTCAAACATTTAATAATAGAAGAGACTCCAAAATTAACATTCACTTATTTCACTCAAACGATTATTCAGTAAATGAACTTCCTATTATACTTATTATTTGAATACTATTTTACTATGCATACCTTTATTTTGAAGAACACGCAAGTATGATATTCCTGTTTCATTTGACCACTGAGCGGGATCATAAAATTCTTTTTCAGTTTTTCTAATACATCTACATAATTTTTTTCAGTTTCCAGTAGTTCCTTAATTACAAAATCCCTTTTTTCAGTCGGTTGGGAATGCTGGAATTATGTTTCAAATAAAATAGAATAGTAAGATTTTTACAAAAATTCCTTATCTGAAATCCTCTTTTTTAATAGAATAGCGGAATCACCATTTTCGAATTAAATTTTATCTACATTTTTTAAAAAAAATTTCGTATTTATTTAGTCTCAAAAAAATATTTAATTACCTGCAGATAAGAAACTTTTGAACACGAAAATAAATCGACACTACGAATTCTAAAAACAATTATAAACTATACCTCTAAAGATGTTCTGTCGAGATACAAATCCTGATATATGTCATTAGAAGCTGTAAAAGCGCAATGTGTGTCAACTAGGCTCCTCTCTCTCACTGGCATCTCTCTAACATAAAAAAGCCATGCATAATGATAAAAATTTACACATTGTGAATAATCATAATAAAAAATAATAAAAAGATGTAACACTTAAAAAAGTTTGTGTAAACAAAAATATACTAAGCCAAAATGTTTTTTTTTTTGTCAAAACACATAATTATTATGGGCAGTACCGGATCAGTCAAACTCAATCCTTTAATAATTTTTCAAAAATTGTAGATGAATTAATCAATTGTCACTAACAGGTATGTTGAAAAAAGTGTAAATGTTACTGTTTCTTTTATTTCATTTAAAATATATCTGCTAGCGACTAACTATCTTGAATAGAACCCAACCATTGAGATAGAATAAAGAGGAGATGCTATTACGATACTAAAAGTGTCCACACCTTTGCATTACACTTTTACGTTATATGTCAAACTCAAGCTAGTGGAACTAGCCAGTTTTGGTGAGAATGCTATTTTTTTAAAAATAGCTTCATTTTAATTATGTAGAAACATTTTCATTCCGACAATCTTCAAATATAAAATTATTGACTTCAAATAAATCAAAGAACCACTCTAATGTCCATTTCCACCACTTGTCTTTATGAAATAAGCCAAGCTTAAACTGACATTTTTTCATTAATAATGTCATTTTAAGCTTCGCTTAGTTCTTAACGACTAGCGGTACAAATGGCCATAAGTCACCATTTTGATTACACTTTTCCATCACTCGAAGTGCGGCTATCTTTCATATCGCAAAATAGTGTCTCTCTCTACTTCATTCTATCTCGATGAACCCAACAGAATGGATAATTCACCCAAAAAATAAAATATATACAATATTGATGAAATAAAAAATATTGATGAAATAAAAAATATTGATGAAATAAAAAATATTGATGAAATAAAAAATATTGATGAAATAAAAAATAATGATGACAGACAAAATAACGTAGTAAAGACAGTAAGGACCCTATTCAAATTGATATGGAAATATTTAAACTTTGTAAATATAGAGATCATTAATAAATAATAGATCTAAAGTATAGCGATCATTGACCGGTAAGATTTTGATAACATTGGGTCAACTAATTAAGAAATATAAGTAGTAAAAAACTAAAAAAAATAGAAGATATTTTAATTACTTATTGACAACGACTTTATTGATCTCTTTATATTGCAACTTTTAAATTCATCGAAATTTTATGTTGCAATGCATGATTATAATTTATCGCAACAGATATAAATGAAACTAAGTGTTATGAATACTGATTTAAAGATAAAATTTATAGACCGGGAGCCAGGGGTCGATTTTGAACTGCGTTTTTATGCCGTTAAATTATTCACTATACTTGTGATTTAGCTTTCATAGACAACGAAAGTGAATGTCAGCTGGCGCACTCGCGGTGGGTACGAGCGTGGGAGGCTACGAAACGTGTCGAAAAAAAATTTTTATCAGCTCATTTTATGCCGGCTGAAATTTTATCCGTGTATTGTTGACATTTATTAGGATAAAAAAAAAATAGTCAGCTGCGCGGTAGAGGGGGGAAAACATGTCAGCTGAACGGGCGAACTTGTAAAAAAAAAGAGAAGGTAAAACAATTTTATGCCGATTGAAATTTTTTTACATTACTTTCAACATGTATGAAAATATAATAATGATGATCAGCTGCGTTTATAGTGGTGGAAAGACCGTCAGCCGCAGCAAAATGTATCATTGCGTTCATATATCTCGCGCGGCGCGTAGAATTTTCAATGCTTCGACTGACGGCTTTTCCCCCAACGGACAATCAGCTGACGATTATTTTTTCATTTTCAATTATTAATATTATAAAATTACAAAATTTCAAACGGTCTTCCATCAATTTACCAAAGATATGTTCAAGTAAAGCGGGAAAATTATATCATGCTCCATATTAATGCACAAAATTCGGATTTATTACATCACATTATTTAAACTAATTTATTATTTGCGTAATTAAAATACAAATGTCGAAATGCATAAAATGGAACAAATGTTTTTCTTAATTGTCATCATCACTATTTTGGTCACTGTCATTATCGGAGTTATCGATAGATAAATTATACACTCCATCTTCTTCAGTTTCGATGTCGTCTGTAAAAATACAAATGAATTAAGGAAATCATGTAGGTTAATATATTCATAAAAAAGAAAAAGAAAGAATGAATTTGTTTATACCAGAAGCGTTTGTGTCGAGATGCTAGTGATGGTTGGTGGCAATTGATCGCCCACGAACCATTTGAATAAATATTTCTTATTGCTTTCTTCCCATCCATACTCAGTAGGTGATAGCTCGGTTGGCACGGGGAGATGAGCATGGCTCCAAAGGTGAGCGATGTATGCCGTACGTAGAATATGCTGCTGCAGCTCAATTTTACAGGGCGGAAACAATGCACCATCAATTCGTGTTTCCAGATTTAGCGGATTCGAGTCATCGTGGGTACCATATGCTTTTGTGAATGTAACAACACGAGCAACATTGATATCTTCAACTGCTGTCAGTGCATATAATCGGCAAACATAGCCTTCCAGTGTGACAAGCAATTCATCAAGATTACAATTGGGAATATTTGAAATGTCAGTTAATGCCTGTATGTATTTTGGAGAGTTTCGCAGAATTTGCAATGGTTTTTTTTTGCCTTTGCGGTAGAACGCTGAATTAAAATCGCAGCCCGTGAAGGCATGAAATCCTGGCAATGCAGAGCTCAAATTGGGACCCAATGTGTCATACAACTTGGTGACATTGATAAATTTCTGATTGTTTCCGGTCCCAACATGCATCGAGATATTTAAATTGCTTTTGATGTATTTCATGTTTCCTAACATAATAATCAAAATATCTGTGTCTGAACACCGTATCGTAACATGAGCATCTGAAGTCAACTGACAAACATGGAAAATAATTTTTGTATCAGCTTCTTCGTGACCTGGACATGCCAACAATGGTTCTGATGTTCTTTGCACTTTGCCTTGATGTACTTCATATTTATGACATTCCAAATAATTGACAAAAATGATCTTATTCCCGATATATGGTGCCATGTGATCATTTGCCCAATCTTCAATTAAAAAGTCAATGAGTGCTTCTTTGAAGTAAATATTTTTCAATGCATCCGAGAAATTTGATGGGCGCACTTGATCGGGTCCATTTATTTGGAAACGCTGCCCTTGGACTCTGCTTCTTAATGAGTGTTCATTATCTTTTATAGATGGAAATACGTATCTATCGAAGGCAATTATTACAGTGTCGGCATTATTGTTAGTGAATACTTGCATCAGCTTTTTCGATACATTTCCAAATGAGGACGGCACGTCTTTTATCGAATGTATGTTGAAAAATCCATCATAAATAATCACATCGCACCTTTCTGGTGGGTTACTATCAATCTCCTTCTGAAGCACTTTTAACAATACCGATTTATCTGTTTTGCAGATCGTCCCATCGATATGGCACAAAGCCAGTGGGACTGGAGTTAGAGGATATGCTAAAACCTTGTCGATATTTAACGTTTGTTCTAAAGACAGAGAGAATAATTGACCAAATAAATCGCGTTGCATTTGTATTGCAATCCTTTTTCCAGCAATTGAAATTTTTTGTTTCGGTGCAACAGTAGCGAAATTTTGAATTTTATTTCTCTTGATGACTTTTTCAAATCGTTCTTCATCTGTTGAACATTCTCTAATAAATTGTTCACGTTGTTCATTACCAATTGTCTCCACATTCAGTAAAAAGTCTTCGATTTCTGGTGTAACCGCCTGCCCTGTAGAAATATTGTATAATAAATCTTTGTCTACATCTTTTGCGAATGGATTCATATTCTGTTTAATGTGATTAAGACATTGTTCCAGCTGTAACGAATGTTTTTTTATTCGACTTTGCTCAAGATCAGCTGTAATATCTTGATCAGGGCGCAATCCACTTTCTTCCATGATATGAGCAATAATTTTAGAACGAATACTATGGCTTTTACACCAGCGCTGGCGAGCCTTTATTGAATTGGTGGTATGACTAATTCCTGTCAATTTGTTTGCCGCATCGGCATTGATGGTCTGTTCCAGTGTAAGATCTACGGGTTGTCGAGAAAATTGTTTGTCAGTCCGTTTAACTCCGAATGATCCCCTTTGTAACCGTAAATATAATCCAGGATGAGTTTCATGTACTTTCATTAATTTGTCGTGATACATTACGGTATAACGTGCATAATTTGGCTGGTTAAATGTGAAGAAGAGATTGCTAATTTTAGGTAATATATATTTGAATAGTTCGATATTCCCTGTGCGGATACTTCGACATAACATGAAGTAATGACTGATCAGATTCATGTATATCATATAAAACTGTGGCGTTTTCCCATGTTCACCATTTAGTGTTTGTTTTTTATATTGCTCATATCTATCAAAGAGGCTTATCAACTCATCATCGGTAATTGTTGGATTGGTAGATTGCTCAGTGCTAAATTTCAGTAAATAATCTTTGATCTCATTAGGCAATTCAACATTGCATTGTTCAACAAAACTTTCAAAATGTAAATTGTCAAGAGCCAAATATAAAAGCGGATGAAGACGCTTGCATCTATTGAAATGTTTTGCAGTTATAAAAGAAGAGATTGATCCACTTGCCAATATATCCGCATTTTCCATGATGTTTGTTATTCCACAGTTGTCAATTAACTTTCCAACTGCTTTAAAATATGCCATCATGACATGAAAGGATCCAAGGTGCACGAACAAGTTGTTAAATTTCGGTTTCTCTGTGCTTTGTATTTGGAGAGCTACTTTCGCAATAGCTAAATCGTAAGTGACCTCCATGAACTCTTCTTGACATTCTTCAGCTATTTGTTGAGCTTGTCTCATTGTCTCTAATACCACTGATATATTTGTTGGAGATGCATTTATCGTCGTAAGGTAAGATATTTTTTGCTTGACGCTATTGTCCTGATAAATCATGCTGTTATACCCAACCCAAGCTGGTATATTCGGTAGCTTCAAAAAATGAGACAT